CTTTATGGGTCTCAGTGGGCCCCCATGGGTCCCTATGGGTCTCAGTGTGCTCCCATGGGTCCCTATGGGTCTCAGTGAGTCCCTGTGGGTCCCTATGGGTTTCAGTGTGTCCCCATGGGTCCCTATGGGTCTCAGTGGGTCCCTGTGGGTCCCTACGGGTCTCAGTGGGTCCTTATGGGTCCCTATGGGTCTCATTGGGTCCCCATGGGTCCCTGTGGGTCTCAGTGGGTCCCTATGGGTTTCAGTGTGTCCCCATGGGTCCCTATGGGTCTCAGTGGGCCCCCATGGGTCCCTATGGGTCTCAGTGGGTCCCTATGGGTCTCAGTGTGCCCCCATGGGTCCCTATGGGTCTCAGTGGGCCCCCATGGGTTCCTATGGGTCTCAGTGGGCCCCCATGGGTCCCTATGGGTCTCAGTGGGTCCCTATGGGTCCCTATGGGTCTCAGTGGGCCCCCATGGGTCCCTACAGATCTCAGTGGGCCCCCATGGGTCCCTATGGGTCTCAGTGGGCCCCCATGGGTTCCTATGGGTCTCAGTGGGTCCCTATGGGTCCCTATGGGTCTCAGTGGGTCCCTGTGGGTCCCTATGGGTTTCAGTGTGTCCCCATGGGTCCCTATGGGTCTCAGTGGGTCCTTATGGGCCCCTATGGGTCTCAGTGGGCCCCCATGGGTCCCTATGGGTCTCAGTGGGTCCCCGTGGGTCTTTATGGGTCCCTATGGGTCTTTATGGGTCTCAGTGGGCCCCCATGGGTCCCTATGGGTCTCAGTGTGCTCCCATGGGTCCCTATGGGTCTCATTGTGTCCCCATGGGTCCCTATGGGTCTCAGTGTGTCCCCATGGGTCCCTGTGGGTCTCAGTGGGTCCCTATGGGTCTCAGTGGGTCCCTATGGGTCCCTACGGGTCTCAGTGGGTCCCTGTGGGTCCCTACGGGTCTCAGTGGGTCCTTATGGGTCCCTATGGGTCTCAGTGGGCCCCCATGGGTCCCTATGGGTCTCAGTGGGTCCCTGTGGGTCTTTATGGGTCCCTGTGGGTCTTTATGGGTATCAGTGGGCCCCCATGGGTCCCTATGGGTCTCAGTGTGTCCCCATGGGTCCCTGTGGGTCTCAGTGGGTCCCTATGGGTTTCAGTGTGTCCCCATGGGTCCCTATGGGTCTCAGTGGGCCCCCATGGGTCCCTATGGGTCTCAGTGGGTCCCTATGGGTCTCAGTGTGCCCCCATGGGTCCCTATGGGTCTCAGTGGGCCCCCATGGGTTCCTATGGGTCTCAGTGGGTCCCTATGGGTCCCTATGGGTCTCAGTGGGTCCCTGTGGGTCCCTACGGGTTTCAGTGTGTCCCCATGGGTCCCTATGGGTCTCAGTGGGTCCTTATGGGCCCCTATGGGTCTCAGTGGGCCCCCATGGGTCCCTATGGGTCTCAGTGGGT